AAAAGCTGTTAATATCAACACAGTATAAAAATAAAACCAAAAGGGGAACGAGTAGGAAATGTCTGCAGCTGGATAAAACAAGTACATGTATCAGCGACCAAGAACAACCACATTTGTTTGTAAAGGGAAATACCAGCACAGTTGGAATGCCTCTTTGACCACTCACATCGCTCGACTGAAACTGACCCGTGTTTGACCCGTAGCCGGGACAGACGATGGACGGAGAGAGGTGACGAGTAAAAGAAGAGAAGGGAGCGAGTGGGAAAGTTTACCTTTCTCACCCTCCTCTGCGGGCAGCAAGCGAGGGACGGAGGGAGGAGGAGGATATTGAAACGACAGGAGGAGACGGCGGAACAATGGGAGGGCGAGGAGGCGCGAGGATGGACAGAGGGGAGTGAGGACATGGACACAACAGATGACAGAACGGATCAGAAAATGAATAGAGGAGATAGCAGGGGAGAGAGCAAATATTATTAGACGACCTACTGTCTACACACACACACACACACACACACACACACACACACACACACACACACACACACACACACAGCTGTGACCAGCCTGTGTTTCCCTCCAGTAAACACTATATCCAGCCTACTGGTGTCCCAGCAACAGATATCTTGACAACCTGATGGGAAAGCATCTTTAATATTGGTGTGTGAGTGTGTGTGTGTGTGTGTGTGTGTGTGTGTGTGTGTGTGAACATGAGAGAGAGAGAGAGAGAGAGAGAGAGAGAGAGAGAGAGAGAGAGAGAGAGAGAGAGAGAGAATAATGCCCCTGTAAATGTGGATGCTTGTAAAGTATTTAAAAGTATAGATTTTTAATGTATCATACATTCATTATATTTTTCATTTGACCTCTCCTGTTATTGATTATTCATTCATGATTATGGATTATTAAGTGGTTGTGGATTCTTGGAGTCTAAGACCAGAACTCAGTCCAAGTCAAGACTGAGTCCAAATGAGAGAGACCGAGTCAAGACCGAGACAGAAAACACAGAATGTTTTTGCCATTGCCAATGAGACGAGTTTTGGCACCCAGGCATACGATTGGTAACCATGGTTACCAATGTCAAAGTCCGTTCTAGATGGTTTTTGAACCAATGAGTTCGCTACAGGCAAGAAGTGCTTATAGTTTTAAAAATATATATATATATAAAAACACCTTCTGAATTCAAGTTTCTCTCTTTTACTGAACTAAGACCAGCCTAAGAAACAAACCCCATCCCTGTCGTGTCCTTATCTTCCACGGAGTAACAGTCCTGGTTGGAGCTGTCAGGATTCGAAACAGTACCCAAAAGCAGACTGGAGCCGATGGCGAAAGTTTAGAGGTTTATTTAGACAACAATAAAGTGACAGGGATGAATGAGCTGAGGGGGGTCGGGGCTGGGTCCAGGTTCTGTTGGGGAGGGAGAAGTTGGGGAAGCTGGAAGGAGAGGCGAGGTGGAGGAAAATCCAGATGGTTGTGCAGACTGGCAGGGAAGACAGGTAATCCAGGGGGACAGGGTGAATTTCCTGAGGGCAAAAGACAAAGTCGTCAGTTGAAGGCAAACAGGAACACTGAACTAAACTAGACTGGACTAAACTGGGATCAGAGGCTGGTGTGAAGCGTACTCAGGTCACACAACAATCCGGTGAGTGCGGCGATGAGGAAATGCAGAGCAGGTGCTTGATGGGTGACAGAGAACAGGTGTGCCACAGCCATATGGAGCCACCTTGTCACTGCATTTCCTGTAGTCAAACTAGTCGAAATAAACCCTTAATTGACAGCAGTTGGATGTGAAAATGCTCTGGCTCTGCAGCTGTTTGTCCTCTCACTGGTGCTCCAGCTCAGTGAGTGAACTGTACTGAACTGAGCAGCTGTCATTCTTCTGAAGCAGTCCATTAAAATAGCAAAATAAAATGACAAAAATCGGCCTAAAAAAACAACCGTCCAATCCCCAATATATCTTTCCAATCTCCAAGCCCTTACTACTATTGCTAGCTATTGCTACCCTACATGTATGGATGGGATGCGTTTTACTGGTTGCGTCTTCCTCTGTACGACGTTATTGTGGGCTTGTTGGAGCCGGTTAGATCAGACGCTAAAGGGGACTGTCTGGACACCAAGGAAGTTTAATATAGGACTAGACACAGGTTAAGCTCACTGCCTGGTCTATTCTCTGCTGTGCCCAATTATCCTGATATTATCAGCTGACAGTATGATTTCCCCCTTGGGTGCTGACAATCCCCTATAAGTGCCTGAGCTTCCGAGCAGAGCGTCCCACAGAAACTGCACTTCTAACCTTTTTTAAACATCTGCAGAAATACAAGAATACACTGTGTGTGAAATTCCCCTTGAAATCAATGAAACGAGGTGGTAGAAACACTACCACTTTTGTCCACAGGGGTCACCAGATAGGGGGAAGCAGAGGCTTTAAGTAACGTCTGTATCTTTATTATACTGTCACATTTCCCGAGAGGTAAAGACCAGGGTTCAAACTTTGAAACCACTTACCACGTTGTGTCGGCAGTAGTGCTTGTTATCTGGGCTCTGTGTTGTTCTTTCATTGTATTGTGGATGAATTAATATTTTGTGACAAACAGAACTAAAACCCATGAGTGGGTGTAAAGTTTACCGGAAGCGAACGGAGAGGGACAGACAGACAAAAGTAAGGGGTTAGTTTGGTTCACTGGCCTTGAGCTCTCTCTGTAATGAAGCACAAAAACTGCATGTACAACTAGATTTCATCTCTGTCTCTTTCTATCAAGCCTCCATCTCCCTCTATCACCATAACAATCCCTCTCTTGTGCTCCACCTCTTCTCATAGTCTTGTCGGCTTATTTCTTCTCTCTCTCTGACTTTTTATCTCTTGCTAATTTCACTGCTCATCTCGGTTTGGGTGATGGGATTAAACAAAGCAGCACAAACATCCTTAGTCCGATCACACAGCTCCTCCATGGATGTTTCTGGATCTGCTCTGGGCTCTCCCACTCAGTCAGGTCCGAAATGCCTCCACTTGGAGGAGTCTTGATCACCTCCACATGCTCCTTTCTTCTTTTTACACTTTAAATTGATGTTCTTGTTTGTCTTTGTTTCGTACCACCTCACACATCAGCCCGTCCTCCTTTTGACTCTTCTGTCACTCTGTATATCACTCATCACCTCCTTCACTGGTTGCCTCATGTCTCCGACACTGCAGCGCTTTATGCTTCAACAACACGGTGAAACCTCTGCTTTTATCACAGACCTCAGACAGTGTCGAGTTTAGTTTAATTTGCTCTAGTCTTGTTTTGTCGAGATGATGTATTTTTCTTGCTGCCTCTGACCGCTGACCTCTCCATGATACTTCCTCTGGTTTGGCCACACAGAGGAGACCTCTGGTTTACTGCTGAACCTCTGACAGAAACCGCTGTAACTGACAGAGTGCACAGATTGATTGAGCACAGATTGAGACTATAGAGGCCGACCGACCTGCACACTGTCTTATAGCCGTGCTAGCCTCCTTAAAAGACTGTGATGCTCAATACAAACAGAAAATACAATTGTTGGGTGGATAAAAGAGAGAGAGAAACTTTGCTATTTTTAGTTCCCTCAAAATTAAACATGTTGCACAACTGTTCTCCAATATACAATGCATTCTCCACCAAAGTAGCCCTTGTACGACCCTAAACGTCAGCATTTTGTATGACAAGGGCCAGCAGCTGATTAGATCTTTACCACAAGTGGGAAAAATAAAGTAAAGTTTGTTCTGAGGGTGTCACCAGAAGAAGAAAGGCCATAACCTTCCCTAAAACAATGGGTTTATTCTCTGTACGGTGGCCATTCAAGGACATCTCACTCTCAGTTTAAGTTTAAAAGCCCTACACAATATCTGCCTCTGAAGGCAACACAGACAGATGCTACTGGTTTGCTCATTTCTCGACCGTACTGTTCTGCAGAGAAAACACTAAAGGTTCAGGTTCAGTGTTAGATTCTGTTGTGTCACTTTAATCTGCTTTCACAGAGACATCGTTCTGAAGCTCTGAAAGACAAACAGTACATATATTATATCGACAGTGTTGGCCTCAGTAAGTGAGTGTTTCCTCCTCTGTCAGGCTCTCTGGTTTGACCCTGACGTTAATGGAGTGTGTCTGACGTCCTCCAGGGCAGCCAGAGATGATGCACATCCTCCTCTGTGGTTTATCTGACACACACACACACACACACACACACACACACACACACACACACACACACACACACACTTTTATCAGATGGGTTCTGTTGTTGTCTGGCCTGATACACAAATCAGATCATTTCAGAAAATTCAAAGACAACCAAAAGTCGATTTGTGTTGTGACGCTGCTGTGGTCCTTTTCTACACTGTCTCTCTGTTTGTAGGACTGTGGTTGCTAGTAGTACTAGCTAGTAGGACATGTAACCGTCTCTGGGGAGTGAGCATTCTGTTTGTCTGCCCCCCCGAACCCCTCCTGGCCGAGGGGAAATGCAACATTAAGATAAAGAGCAACTGATGTTTAGATTGGTAGGCATTGGCCTGAAAGTCCCTACACTGATACACTGATAGCTGCAGGATGCCGCAGTGTTTAACAGCAGAGATATAAAGATATGAAACTCTATTTTAGATTGTAATGTTTGAAATGTTTTTCTGTCTCGGTATGAATGAATCTGATTACTAGTAAGTCATCAGGCTTCCACAGATGGTTCTTTAGTGTGCTTTAATGGCATAACAAATTACCAATGTATTGAGCAATAATTCGACTGAGGAATTAAAAGAAATAAGATTCCTGAAACTGAGGAAATGGGAAGCATGTGTTTTGTGTGTTGACTGTTTTTCTCTCTGTCAATTTTTTTAATTTGGGGTACCAGTTGCCTCTTTCTCTTCTTTTCAAATATGACATTCAGACATAACACGCGATGCCAAAAGCATCTGCAGAGCATGTTGAATGTGCACAAACTTTAAATAAAACCAGAATCTCTCAACAGCAGGGTTCTCTCTTTGTTCCTCTGTGTTTCAGGGACCTGAGTGAAAATTTCATCCAGGCCGTCCCAAGGAGGGCCTTCAGAGGAGCCACGGACCTCAAAAACCTGTGTGTGAAAGCACACACACACACACACACACACACACACACACACACACACACACACACACACAGCAGAGAGTACAGTGGTGATAATGACACAGTCTGCTAACAGTTAAATCAGATCTATCTTCCGGTGTTTGTCCGGTTCTTACAGACAGATTCATGTAAGATCCTCCAGTATGTTTGAAGCAGTTTGAGTTTAATACTGATGCCTCTAAATCCCAAACAAACAGAGGCGGTGGAAACACTACCACTTTTATCCACAGGGGCCGTCAGAATCAACACAACATGAATATTCCCTGTAGGAGCTTTGAGTACACCTGTGTGAAAGGAGTTCCCTTGATTGAGTCATTTGTTGGTTTAACTGATTGATTAACTAAATATACGTCATTGTGGTGTTTGTTTTTCATTACCAGTCAGCTGGATAAGAACCATATCAGCTGTATAGAGGAGGGGGCGTTTCGAGCTCTACGGTCTCTGGAAGTACTGTGAGTATTCTGTGGGGATCAGCACAGTCAGCTTGAAGGATGAAATATACCCTTCTATTATCTTGGTATCTAATACACTTTAAATTCACAATATAATGCTGTTTGTGTTTTCTTCATCCCTCCTCCTGCCATCCCTTTTTCATTTTGTCTCTCCTTCCCTCACTCTCCCTTCATTCCTGTCACTATTTATTACTTTCTGCTCCTTTTATCCTGATTCTCTCCTCCCCTGTCTCCCTTCTTCCCATCATGTCTCACTCACCCGTCCTTCTCCTAATCCTGTCCTCCCTCTTTCTTTCTCCTTTCCTCTCTCTGATCTCTTCTCCCTCCTTTATCCTTTATCCCTCTCTTATTTTTTCTCCTCTCTCTTTCTGTCCTTTCTCTCTGTTTCTATGCCTCCCCCTCTCCCAGCACGCTGAACAACAACAACATCAGCAGTATTCCAGTCTCCAGTTTCAACCACATGCCGAAGCTCCGCACCTTGTGAGTCCTCCACGTTAATGCACTACGTTACCCAGAATGCCACACGGTTCACTCTGGAAACAGAACCACCATGAGATGTGATGCTTACCAACACTCAACCAACATTTTCCTTCTCTTCTTTGACCTCCTTTTCCACCCTCCTTCCTCATTTCCTCCTTCCTTCCCTTGCTCGCCCTTTGCTTCCTTCCTTCACCCTTCCCTATCTCAATTTCTTCCTCTCTTTTGTCCCACTCTCTCCTCCTTCCCTGAACACTTCCATTTTCTGCCCTTTTTCCTTCATTCCCCATCCCTCCTTCACTTCACTTGTCTTCCCTTTCCTTCCACAATGTATCCATCATTTCCATCCTCCCTCCTTGCCTTCCATTTCCTCCCCCGATCTCCTCTCTCCATCCCTTCCTCTTTTTCCTCCCCCTCCTCTCCCAGTCGTCTCCACTCGAACTCTCTGCGCTGTGACTGTCACCTGGCCTGGCTGTCTCCGTGGCTCCGGCAGCGGGCGGCTTTGGGCCTCTACACTCAGTGCAGCTCTCCCCCTGCGCTGAGGGGCCTCAACCTCGCCGAGCTGCGCAAGAGCGACTTCGCCTGCTCAGGTACGGCGGCCCAGCAGTGACACGGGCGCGCTCGGGTCCAAGTTAGACGATGGAGTTGAAGTTGATGTTTTTCTCGTCTGTTTGTAGGCCACGGTGGCAGTGCCTTCGTTCAGCCGTGCAGCCTGGCGTCCGGCTCCTGCCCGCCAATGTGTTCTTGCAGCAACAACATCGTGGACTGTCGAGGGAGGGGCCTCACTGCCATCCCCGCACACCTACCTGAGGCCATGACTGAGATGTGAGTACCATCTAGAGCAGTGTTTCTCAAACATTTTAATATAAGATATTAAGCATCTTTCAGTTTGAATGAGAAGCATGCTGTAAAGACTGACAGGAGAACAGAGCTTTGAATGAATGTTGCATGAGAACAAATGTTTGAGTACTTTGAATGGAAACTACTGTTGGTGGGAGCAGCATCCAGCTGGCAGCTGTGCTGTGGTGTGTAATGACCGACAGGAGGCAAATTATCTCTGTCTCTGTCTCTCTCTCTCTAGACGTTTGGAGCAGAATGGCATCAAGTCGGTTCCTCCGGGTGCCTTCACCTCCTACAAGAAGCTTCGTCGAATGTGAGTCCTCTGAATACAAACTAACTCAACAGAATCCAGTGTCAGAGATAAAGAAACATTCATTCAGATAAATGTCACTTATTTTCCCATCTGTGACCTTTTAATAAAAGAGCAGAGACAGAACCATCTGCCAGGTTAAGTAAACTGAGGAGGGTATACATCCCACCTCCCCTTGGAAAGAAGAAGCTGGGGAGAAGGATGTGTGTGTGCTGCCAATGGAAATAGGCAATAAATTAATCTAGAAAACCGATTTTGAATCCAAGACACGATTCTCTAGACCACTTCAGGTGGTTATACACTAATGAAAACATAACTATGAATATTGTATTCCATATCTGACAATAAATCCTCCTAAATGTTACGCACTGGACCTTTAAGTTTACATACTGTAATTGAGGTCCACCTCAAATGTTGACGGCCAAAAAACTGTACAGATTTATGTTCGTAAATACTCAAATGAAGAGTCCCGTATTGTTCAGTCAGTCTGAAACATCAGCACTGAAATATTTCCTTCTATTATTTGCAGTATCATTGTGATTATTATGACATCAAATGATTAAATATACATTTTTCTTCATGGGGGTAGTTTGAAAGTCAGCTAAGCTAACACCATCTAGCCAGAGAAGCTGTGGTTTTAATGCTCCGCCCACTGAGTTCCACTTCAACCAATGGGAGTACAGTATATCTGCCTCCAGAGGGGCAATGCCTCGGAGACAGTTTTCGTGTTTTAAAGTCCGATCTGCCAACTGGATCGCTCTCTTCTCCCTCTGTCTCCACCGGGCTGTGGTTTTCCTGCTCGACATAACAAACAGCCCCAGTGGATTTCCAGCATGGAGGAGCGCTTGATTTATGTCAGACAGCAAGCAGATACAATCCCCAGAAGAGGTCTTTTGAGGGTCTTGCATGGTGAATCAAGCGCATATCACTGTGATCTGATGATTATGTTTTAAAAAAATGCACATTAGACCACAATAATAATGTTTATAGCTTTATAGCCTTGTACCCTGTTTTATTTCTTTTTTTCTTCTCTTCTTTCTTTGTGGCTTTTGTTCTGTCCACTCTCACTGCTTCATCCTTTCTCTTTTCCTTTGCCCATTTCCATCCTCAGCCATTCTCTCTCTCCATCTTTGTCTCTCTGTGGTTTTCCTTTTCCTCTCGATCTTATCCTTGTCTCCCCCCTCGTCCTCTTACATCATCACTGTGAGACCGTCCCGAGCCCTAAGAGGGGGGTTGATTACATTACCAGGCTGGTTTAAGTGGTTAGTTTTAAAATTTATTATGACATTTGAGCGACTGACATGTGGCAACAGAACAAGGGTTTTATAATCTGACATGTTGTGGTCTGGCCTGCCACAGATGTAAAAACTTAGAGTTGGCCAGCAGAGCAGCTCTCGCTCTCTGAGAGACCGCCTTTATTCTGAAAAGTTTGTGTGAAGCTCACTTACGGTCCAGTCATCTCATGAAATGGGGTTTCTCTTCTTTATAAATGCGTTTTATTTGATTCGATTTGATTAGAGGATTAGAAAAATGAACAATAAAACCATTCATGTATGTTTGACTCCAGAGAATAGCACATGGAAATGTTACATAGAGAGAAAAATGCACCACTAAACACTTTATTTAAGTTAATTATATGGCACCTTTGGCAAAGTACAGTTACAAAGGTCTTCATAATAACTCATACAAAGCTAAACCAAGCTATAAAACAGTTATAATAAAATTAAATAATGAAATAATCACAAACAGACATGAAAACAATCACTATGTTAGTAAAATGTTAAATACCTAGTAATGTCATTTAAAAAAACATGTAAAATCTAAATAAAGTAAAAGTGAGTTTTTAAAAGAGATTGAAAAGGAGAAACCTGTTCTAGGTTCCCTGATGTCCACAGACGAGTAGAAGGACCTACATAACATAACAGCTCAGCAATATCAGGCAAAATGTCCCCTGGAGCTTTAAAGGTTATTAATAACATTTTAAAATTCCTGCTAAGCCAGTATTAGTAGTAGGAAGCCATTATCGGCGTACAGGGACTGTTTTCAGTTCAAGTCAAAAACCCAGCAGCAGAAGTTCGAGCCAAACAAGAAGAGATTCTGTTGTGGACAATACGGGAAATAATTTATTCATGATTTATTTTTCTTTACAGAGAGTAGCGGTCTCATCTTAGAGCTTCTCCTGAGCTGATAGAAACACGAGGAAACTCCTGATTTCATTTGTTTATTCAAGTTGAAATTGTGATCAAGGGTAACATCGTGAGTCCTGCTGTCATGGCTCACAGAGTGGAGTCGGTTGCAGTCTTACAGTCTTCACCTTAACATCAAAACAAAGAGGAAGCTTTTAGTGGTTCTGGAGAAAAAAAGCTCTCCTGGTTGCTGTGACTGAAGTCTGTGTGTGTGATTCTGTCTGCGTTTCATTCCCAGAGACCTGAGTAACAACCAGATATCTGAGATTGCTCCTGATGCTTTCCACGGCCTCCGAGCTCTCAACTCCCTGTGAGTAACACAGATTGTCTCAGTGTGTGTGTGTGTGTGTGTGTGTGTGTGTGTGTGTGTGTGTGAATAAGTGTGATGAGAGTGCCTCTACCAATATGTGTTTACATATGTCAGTATTATGCCTGTCTATACCTCCGTATGTTTGCACCGCATGCCTGTATGCGTGCCTCTATTGGTCTGAATAATTCAAAAGTGGCGCCTGCTCTCTGTAAACAGAGATTCCTTATGAAATATCAGGACTTACAAACAATGGGTGGCCTGCGGGTCTGTGTGTATATGTGAGTATGTGTACATATGCGTATAGTGAATGTGTCTGCACTCTGGCATTATGTGTTCTGTTCTGACTGTGTGGAAATACGTGCAGGGTTGTAGTGGAAAGCAAAGGCACCAAAAGGTTTTACCAATGAAATAAGAGTCATACTGTTATATTATATTCATAATAAAACATCACGGTAGCTACTAACAGACTGAATATATATCAATACGGCTTCTCTCTGTTCTCTGTGTGCAGGGTTCTGTATGGTAATAAGATCACTGAGCTGCCCGGCGGAGTGTTTGATGGCCTGGCCTCTCTTGAGCTGCTGTAAGTCCAAACCACAACATGCATGTATTTGTCTGAACTGACATTTACACTTGCTGTGTTTTACACAAAGGAATTTCAGGTGTCAAATGACTTGAACGTGCCCAGAATGTGTTCGATTGTTGGACGGAAACTGTCTCTGTGCAGCTTTGCCAAGTGAAGAGCCGAGATGTCATCAAGTTCATGGTGCTGTTGTTGTCTTGTGTTTATCAGGTTGCTGAACGCCAATAAGATCCACTGCATCAGAGCCTCGGTGTTCAAAGATCTAGAGAACTTGGCTCTGCTGTCCCTGTATGACAACAAAATCCAGAGTCTGGCAAAAGGCACCTTCAGCTCGCTGCACAGCATCCAGACGCTGTAAGAAAACACTCACACATACCGTTTCAAGTTCTGTTCTATTACAGTTCTGTTCCACTCCATTCAGTCTGATCTGACTGATGTCCTGCCCCCTGTGATTTCCCATCAGCCACCTGGCCCAGAACCCCTTTGTGTGTGACTGTAATGTGAAGTGGCTGGCCGACTTCCTGCGCTCCAACCCCATAGAGACCAGCGGAGCGCGCTGCGCCAGCCCTCGCCGCCTCGCCAACAAACGCATCGCACAGATCAAAAGCAACAAGTTCCGCTGCTCCGGTCAGTGTTTGTGTGTGTGTGTGTGAGTGTGTGTGAGGGAGACACATAATGAAACACAGACAGGAGTGTGAGTTGAACCTGTGGTGACACTTATGAGCCACAGTTGATAGTGTAAGATGCAGAACTACGGCAAAGCTTTCCTCAAGAGAAATAACACAGTATGTGTAAGAAATACAGAATTATTATCCCCCAAAAGCCTTTTGTCATAGGCATTAGCATATATATTAGTTTGTGACACTCTGCTGTCACTTCTCTGTTCTTATTACAAAATCCAGACTGCTCTGTCCAGAACCAACAAGAACTTATTGTCTCTCGTATCTTTTCTTTCATATAAAACATCATAGAGCAGTCGAGTTGAGGTCAGAGAAGGTGTACTAAATACAAGATTATTCTAATTTGAGAGATTTTTGATTGGATACTGTCCCAGACTTGTTTTCCAACTTCAAGTGCATGTAGTTTCCGGCTAAGATAACGTTGATGTTTGAAGACAGCCACAGTGTATCAGGACAGCGGGGACTGCTCGAAGTAGACAACTCATGGACTCCAATTCGAGTCTTTCCCTAAAATCTCAAAAATTTGAGATTGTAAATTTGTTGTGTGTAGCTTCAACAATAATAATAGGTTTTATGTTTATGATTTAAAAAAAATAAATTCTAAGAATGGAATTTCTGTGTAATACTTTTGTACTATGGGGTGTAGTGGTCATTACAGCCTCTAGGGGGCACTAGAGGCGTTTTAGACTTATTCTTATGAAGTTAAGTTAAGGAAATGTTCAGGTTCCAACATCCCAATGCCAGCAAAGAACCAGTAACCTTTAGAACAAAAACATATAACTTCCTTTAGTTGTTTTGGACCAAGAACTGCTATTATGTGCAGATATTAACAAATGATAAAACAAATATGTAAACAGCTAGTTTAGTAACACAGTCCACCTGCACTGGTTACACACACACACACACACACACACACACACACTTTCTTCGACTGTTCGACTGTTAGATTTATCTTTATCTTATTTATCTATTTGTGATTCATTCTGGAGCGAGGCAATTTCTCTATCCGTTGTACTGTGTGTGATTGTTGTGTATGTAACAGTAACACTTGATTCGATTGAATGTGTGAGATACAAAGAGACTGAATGAAAGAGTGTGTTTACTAGTTTAGGTGTGAAAGTTTACAGTATTTGTTGGGAAGTGTGACAGAACAGGAAGATAAGAATGAATATAGTTAATCTCAGCGACTGTAACTGGCCGCCTGTAAAGCTCCCGGCTGTCTCCGTCACCCACATTCACCCATGCCAGTGTGCGATGCCAGCCCCTGGCCAGTGAAACCATGGCAGGCTCTCTGATCACCACATAAACTGCTCCACGCCGCTTTAGTCCACTGCCAGGCCTGGAAAGCTGCTCGCAGGCCGACACATCGCTTCCATAAAACAGCAGAACAAGGAGACAGATCGTTTCACGCCTTCTTTCATCTTTAAAAATGTTAAAGTGTACTGCGGCCAGTTTGTGTGTGTGTGTGTGTGTGTGTGTGTGTGTGTGTGTGTGTGTGTGTGTCTGTGTGTGTGGCTGTTTGTTCCTTTGAAGCTTTCAAACCTTTTGACTGACATGGTTTTGTTTCTCTTTCTTTTTCATGGCAGCCAAGGAGCAGTACCACATCCCAGGTGATTATTTTTGTCTGTGTGTATTCTGGTATATATTGGACTGTCAAACCTACACCGTGCTTGCCTGATCGCTCAAGTACAAATACATTTAAACCAATCAGCTTGACAGGATTTAAAAACAACATCAGGCACTGGGAGAAGTACCAGACGTGGCTGCTTTTAAATCCGTAATCTTGCTGTTTTCTCTCAGTGTTCTTGTTTCTAACTCCGAGGGGAAACTATTAATCCCTCTAGGGGAAATAAAAGTGTTTCACTCTCTTGTTATTTTACGCACAAATGCACAAACAGGACCTGACTGATGCTGCTTCACGTCATCCGCTGAGTGGTCAGCTCAAACAAACGTTTTGTAGATATTATTTTGGGTCTCAGATTTATCTGGAAACTAGTTTGTGCAGATACAGGAGTTTAGATAGATAGATAACTTTATTAATCCCACAATGGGGAAATTCACTTGTCACAGCAACATTTGAGTGAAATAAATACAGATATAAAAAACAGGAACATTTGCATACAGCAGGTCCAAGGTCTTATTGTCTCTGGTGGTGCATGTGACAAACTGGTGGAAGGTTCGGTGGTAGACGAGAGAGAAACGTGGTTGAAGTCCCCTGTGATGATGATGAAGGCCTCCAGGTGTTTTTCGAATCTGATGTTCCCAGAACAGCTTCCAGTCTTTCTAATTAAAAACAATCTGAAGCAAAGAGAGAGATTTGTGTGTCGGTGTGTACATCCAGTCAGGTGATAGAAAGGTTCATACTGAAGGGGAGAACTGTCAGTCATTATAGACTACAAAGAGAGACGTGAGATTGTTTCATCAGTTTGACCCACCTTTGTTCTGTCCTGTGTGTGTGTGTGTGTTGCGTGTGTCTAGGTACTGAAGACAGGCGTCTGAGCTACGAGTGTAACAGTAAGCCGGTGTGTCCTGCCAAGTGTCGCTGTGAGGCAAACGTGGTCGACTGCTCCAACCTCCGCCTCACCAAGTTCCCTGAACACCTGCCCTCCTCAACTGAAGAGCTGTGAGACACACACAAACACACACACACACACACACACACACACACACACACACACACACACACACACACACACACAGAACACACACACACACACAGAACACACACCTACACAGAACACACACACCTACACAGAACACACACCTGCACAGAACACACACACCTGCACAGAACACACACCTGCTAGCACCTGAGCAATATTAGTGGCCAGTATTTATCTGGAAATGATCTACTGTATACATTTTTTCCCATAAATCCTGAACATAAAGAATATTTTTGTTATCAACAGTTAAAGGTCACTGTACTTGTACTTTGTTACTCCCCACCTTTGATTGAAAGTGCACACGTCCTTGCAAGTGCACACATTTCACTCATGATTACACTCCTATGCATATGTGTACATACACAGACATATGAACATACACATGCTGTACACAGGCACTTTACGGATATTCATGTTGACATGTGTGTGTGGACTCATACTGCATGGCTGCACACTCAGAGGACAAACACACACATTCCAAACCGACTCTTCTGCTAATGATGTGTTTGCTCCGTCCTCTTCATGTCTGCTCTCTGTGACCGTCGCAGGCGTCTCAACAACAACGACATCTCAGTGCTGGAGGCCACCGGAGCCTTCAAGGGCCTGTCGCATCTCAAGAAAATGTAGGTCACTGAGTAAACTTCAACAATGACGAATACCCGTTCAATCATGAAAAGAAACTTCCATGAGATCTCATTGTCTAGCCTGAACCATGACCTAAAGAGGTTCCGACAAAACTGGTCTGTAATTTGTTGATTTACCTGAGTACAGCTCTTCAGATTTATAATGTGCTTCTTGGAAAAATACATAGAAAGATACTGAGAACAGTAACCGAGTGCATTGTCCTGAATCTCTAAGAATGGAGTTTGTGATAAACTAAATAGGGAAAATCACACACTGTAAACTGTTCTTATTTGGGGCTTTATCCTCCTTCCTTCCAGTAACTTGAGCAACAACAAGATTTCAGAGATTGAGGATGGGGCGTTTGAAGGTGCGTCCTCAGTGGTGGAGCTTCACCTGACAGCCAATCACCTGGAGTCTGTGAGAGGGAGCATGTTAAGAGGCATGGAGGGACTACGCATGCTGTGAGTTCACTTTGTATTCCTCCTGTAGTAACAGTCACAGCAGATAGATAGATAGATAGATAGATAGATAGATAGATAGATAGATAGATAGATAGATAGATAGATAGATAGATAGATAGATAGATAGATAGAGACAGAGAGAGAGCGAGAGAGAGAGAGAATAAGTACCTATAAAAATAAACCTACCAATAAAATGAATGTGAATGGCTTATTCAGATTACAGATAACATTCACAATGTTTAATTAGTTCTGTAATTTAATTGTAAAATCTGTAAGTTCACATGTTTTTCCCGTTTATTTTACAGATTTATTTAAATTTTAATTTTAATTACAAAATTAAGAATTTATATGTCTAATGTAAAATATTGTCAGATTAAAATGTGAAAAATCAAACAATAACAGCACTCTTCTGTAAATTTAAGCCTGATTATTTCTATTAAGCAGTGTTCACCTGTATTTATAGCTCATTTTATTGTTTTTACATGTGTAAATATCTTTAACTAAACATTAAAAACAGAAAAAAAGATTTAAAGCTAAAAAACTGCATTTTAATTATAGAAAATTACAGTTATTTTCTGTTGATTTAATGTATTAAATGTACCCCAGCTGCCGGAATATGACGTTTTCTTTTGGTGTTTTCTACAAATTCTTTTTTAAAGTATATTACCTAAAAGCAGTGAATCTTCCAAACAGTACTGTCTTTTAAGGCCTCATGTACTCAACTCTGAATGTGTGTGTTGTGAACGTGTGTGTGTGTGTGTGTGTGTGTGTGTGTGTGTGTGTGTGTGTGTGTGTGTAGGATGCTGAGGAACAACAAGATCAGCTGTATCCATAACGGCAGCTTCACAGGTCTGGCCAACGTCAGGCTGCTCTCGCTCTATGACAACCAGCTGAGCACCATCCTGCCCGGAGCCTTCGACACTCTGCCCAACCTGTCCACGCTGTCAGTGACACACACACACACACACACACACACACACACACACACACACACACACACACGTACATACATCTGTGCTGTTTCTTTGCCTTCCTCTCTGTATCTACTCTGCATCTCTTCTGTCCATCAGGAATCTTCTGGCCAATCCTTTTAACTGTGACTGCCGTCTCTCCTGGTTCGGGGCATGGCTCCGGAGCCGTCGAATCGTGACGGGGAACCCTCGCTGCCAGGGCCCCGCCTTCCTCCGAGAGATCCCCCTACAGGACGTAGCTGTACCCGACTTCCGCTGCGAGGACGGTACGATACACACACTCTCAAATATATACGCAAATATACCGTGACAGGAATGTAGTAATCACTGTAATATGAATTGCCTGTAGAGCAGCATGTAGACAGATTTAAAGAGAAAGAATGAGAACCACATCTTGTAAAATGCTTCTTCACATCAATGTTTTATAAAAGCTGAGCCCCCACCCTCCTGTCTGTGTGTTTAGGTTCTGTTCTGGAGGACAGCAGCTGTGCTACGGGGCCGCAGTGTCCCAGCCAGTGTACCTGTATGGACACCGTGGTCCGCTGCAGCAATAAACACCTGCAGACTCTGCCCAGAGGACTTCCCCGCAACGTCACCGAACTGTGAGTCTGAAAGCACAACCACAGCAACTTTTCCACTTAAACTGCGTTTCACATCATCTTCAGTCCTGTCCCCAAAGTGTCAGGCGCTTTAGTCCTCGGCTCATTTAGAACTTCTTGCTCACTGCCTGGCTCTCCAGTGTAGTCCAAAAGTCTACCACAGCATGTTTATTATATATAAGTTCACAAATGTTAAATTCATTAAAGTTAAAAACAAATTATAATACTACGAATTATGTTGTGTTTGTAATTCATTTAGTCATTAAATAACACAAAAAGAAAGCTGTAGTTCCTTCATGCTACACACACATTGAACATACTACAGTAAATACAGTTATTTATATGCATATATACAAGCTGGGCGAGCATGGCTCCTGTCTGACTCTCTTCCTCTCCTCCTGGGGCGACAGCACTCGCGATGGTGGGCCTCTCTGGGCGATCTGGCTGGGTGGATCCACTGCTCTTTAATCCAAACCCCATGCTTCCTTTTCAGATGACTGTAGGATATTTCTGTCATTGGTAATACATGTTTCAGCCAGAAAGCGGCAGATGAAAAACGAAAATGTAATGAGCTTCTGGCCACAGCATCTGTTTGTGCAGCTGTTACCATGGTCAAAATCTAATGATGCACTAGATTGGAACAATTTTGGCTTAACCCTTTAACATCAAATCCAATCAGACATCATTTAATTATGTTTTGAGCAATAAAGCCAAATAAAAATACAAAAATGCAGCAAGTTTGAAGGAGCTACTGGCTGCTGCATATGCATGCACAGCTGTTGCAAAACCTTGAAAAGTCTCGATCAGGAAATGAATCCATACATATATGTATGCAGCTACTAAATTAGACACAGTAGAGGTTGTGACAGTAATTACCGTATCAGCAATGTTTATCTTCTCTGATTAAAAGGTTATAATGGGTTTCTGAGGTAGTTGGTACACACTGTAAGATGTAAATTAAAATTATTCTTGAAAAACAAATCTAGCAGGAACTTTACGCACATTCGTTTTCTTGTCAAAAGGTCTTACAGTTTCATACTCTTCATTCAGGAAGCAAATGCAGGATGTGAATTGTTCTTATTCAGCAGAGATGCACAGCAAATTCCCCTCTCTCTCGTCCTCTCAGGTATCTGGATGGTAACCAGTTCACCAGTGTTCCCAAGGAGTTGGTCTCTTTCAAATACCTGCAGCTTGTGTAAGAGGCACTGTGTTCACACTCTAATGTACCTCCTCACACTCTATCACAACCACCGACACTGATGACACTTTCTTTCCCGCCGCTGTGAACACATCTACATTGAGTATAGTGCAGTGACCCAGACACATTTTTATTGTTTTGATTTGGATTTGAAGTGAGGTCTATCAGGTTTAAGTAGCGACTGTAAGAGTGAGCAGTGTAGGAGTCGTAGCTCACGGATATTGCACAGGTCACAGCAGGAGGTAGTGGCACGGTAGTAATAAATGTAATTGCACAGGACATATACAGGGGTGTAATTTAAAGGTAAAATAGGTTATAAATATTGGGGGTATGATGTACAGTGCAGTCCAATTGTCTGACCTGAATCCAGCTGATGATTGGTGCCGCTGCTTGAGATTAGACTGAAGGCAAAAAGCGTCCAAAACAAGCACGAAGTGAAGGTGGCAAGAGCGTAGACCTGACAGAGAGTCAACCACCAAGAGTCTGCTGATGTCTCTGCGTCAGAGACGTCAGACATATTTACATTTTACGCCCCTAAAACTGGGAGACTTTATATCAAATGTTAAAGCTGAGAATCAGCACTTTTTCATTGAACCTTTATTTAAATCTCAGGGATTTATTGAGGGCATCCTCTCATATTAAATGATGTCGAGAGTACAATGAAAACAGAATAAATACACACAAAAGCGGAGTATATAGCTACAATTGGGTTTGAATGTTTTGTGTGTACAGCACAAAATCTAAAAACAGCACTCGCCAATCCCTTGACCGAGTCAAATAATGACAATGGGAGCGGTTTAATAAGGAAGTGAAATATGACGGCAAGTTGCCATTAAGGGCTTTATGAATAAATAGAAATAAATGTGTGTCACGTTTTACTGTTAGAGATGCACTAACCTGGGTGTGCAGACAGCCCCCATGGTCGCTGTATTTATGAGCAAAGCCAGCAGGGGGAGCTGTGGACTGTTGTTAATTACAGTCCAGCTCTTTCCAAAAAGCTTCATTTATTTAAACTGTATCACAAACACACATAAACCTCTTCATGTGATCAGCGGCATTTTATCACGTGTGTGTGTGTGTGTGTGTGTGTGTGTGTGTGTGTGTGTGTGTGTTTAGTCCATAAAGAGAGATTGCAGTGTGTGTTATTGTGTTGCTGTGTGTGTACTGTGTGTGTTTGTGTATCTAATGGGAGTCCTGCAGTATATTTTGTGTGTGTGTGTGTGTGTGTGTATTGATTGGAATTGACCTTTTTCCTCTGCAGAGATCTGAGCAACAATAAAATCAGCTCCCTTTCTGATGACTCTTTCTCCAACATGAGCCAGCTCACCACTCTGTGAGTCCACACACACACACACACACAAATCTTCTTCACGAAATGTTAAAGGACAATTTCACCCCCAAATTCACATATTATGTCACAGAAAACATTTACCTCTTGAGATGAGATATGACCGATGGCCAGTAACTGGCAGGCATTTTAAGCAAGTGCCTTTGTGAAGAGGCATCAGTTCTTTTGATGAATGAGTTTAGTGTGTCTGATACAGCGGTCCAGGGTCTTGATCTTGTTCATTACAGATATTTAATCAACATAATCAAGGGCGATTTAACTTAATTTAGTCCGTAGTCGTGAGAGGAATCACAATAAAGTGTTTAATGTTAGAGCTTCAGAGCTGTGCTAGAACCTTTTAGGTCATGTTTAACTAATGATTACAAAATAACCTCTTTGGACTACTTCCTTTGTCCGTAACCTTGGAAGCCGATAAAGACTAGACCAAAAAAATGAAGATAAATAACACTACATTGTGGCAACTCATGATTAACAGGATATGACCTGAGACTAGATTCTTTTTCATCAAGATTGTCATTTAAAGACGCACCGATATCACTTTTTTCAGAGTTTTGGGTACTTCCTGATACAGAGTACCGATATATTGACTTTGTTTTATTTTCATCAGATGTTCCTCACTTAAATGTTGCTGATGTTGTTGTAAAAGTTTTACTGCTTTAAAATATCTCCAAACTACTGACATTGCTTCTCCTCTGCCTACCTGCTCGACTACCGAGAGGTTACGCAACCTAATGTTTTGTGGCATCAAAAGAAGAGATGCGTACCCCCATGAGGACCCTGCAGCTGCACACCATCAAATTTCACTGCGTTCTGCCAATTACAATTACGTTTGTGTACACCTTCATGGAAGTCTGGCCACGCTGTGACACATGTACAGTATGGCGAAGGCCTGTGGTAATACTGACTGGAGCTTGTGTTGTTTCTCCTCCTGCAGGATCCTCAGCTACAACTCTCTGCGCTGTATCCCTCCACTGGCACTGGGTGGCCTGCGCTCTCTGAGACTGCTGTGAGCTCTCTCTCTCTCTCTCTCTCTCACACACACACACACACACACACAGCATACCATACTTGTCACTGGCCAAACCACATCACTGTCATCCCCTCGCTTTATTACAATAAGCCGTCATCTGTTTTTGGACTTCCTCTGTTGTTGAGCTGGATGAGACTTGCTGCCTGTCAGAGTCATTGTGGTCTTTGAGTTTTCAGTTTAACCGCTTTTGACCCTCCGCCGTGTCCGTCTTTCAGCTCTCTCCATGGCAACGACATCTCCGAGCTGCAGCAGGGCATCTTCAGCGACGTGGCCTCCCTGTCTCACCTGTAAGCACTCAGATATACATGTCATACACACCCATGTACATACGTAATGACAGCACAGTCAGCGGGGCCGGTCCTCACTGACAGAATGAGGTGTGTGTGTGTGTGTGTGTGTGTGTGTCTGATGCATGTTCTATCCCCTGCCTTTATGGCTCCAGTCAGATAGAGCCTGGAGGATTGAATTAGCTGGAGAGATCCATCGTTTCCCATGGGTCTATTGATCCAAGGTGTGTGTGTGTGTGTGTGTGTGTGTGTGTGTGTGTGTGTGTGTGTGTGTGTGTGTGTGTGTGTGTCTGTGTGTGTGTGTGTGTGTGTGTGTGTGTGTGTCTGTGTGTGTCTGTGTGTGTGTCTGGGTCTGCATATACAGTATAATCATCTTCAGTCAAGCATGACCCATGTGAGTCAATCTGAGGGGTGTGGAAGGAGGAGAGGAGAGATGGATGGTGGAGGGGAGGCTGGAGAGGAATGAGGAAGGGCGGAGAAGAGGAGGTGATGGAGGGCAGGAGGAGGGAAAAGGATGTGTGAACTGGAGGTGAAGGGAGGAGGGAGGATGTATTTTCATTTTTGTTTTCTGAAGCGTGAAATCAATTGTGAAATAAGATCCTTTCAGTGGGGATAATAAATCGGGCTGTAAAATGATCTAATGTAACTCCAGAGTCAAGATTGACTTTGTTTTTTGCGTTTTAGGTTCTTCTCTGATGTTTATTGAGGTGGAGTCTGATGGTTTATTGCCGTATTTGGTGTAGAAACCTGACATTTCATGGCTTTTTTAAGGCAACAACAATTCACTTTTTTTGTATTTGGTACCAGCAAAAAACAACGTGATTGCATTTCCTACATGACGGGAAAACATTAGTCCACAGGGAAAAAATTAAAGAGCTAAATATAAAGGTTACAAACATTTATCACCTGTGTCTTTGGTGATTGTGTTTTGAGGAAAGGAATCAGGTGAAATTGTAATGAGTCACACTTTTGTTCTTTACTTTCATGCCATACTGTCGTCACAACCTGCAGCAGAGGCCATTCTTAAGGAAACAGAAGTATAACTCTGGATTCTTTTCGAACTAAGCTTCTGATTCTGATCATATTTGACTCACTAAGTTAATTAGTAAGAACTGTGGGCATGTTGCATCAATACAGAAAGTTTATTATATTGTTTTTTTGGTTATTGGAGATGTTCAAGGCATTCACAGTTCAACGTTCTCGTGCCTATTTCCAGGCAGGTAAATACATCTATACATGCAGCGATAAAGGCGAGCGAGTGATAATAAGAATAAAGTTCAAAAGACTTAATTAATTGATTGTAATAATAATAATAATAAGGATAAAATGAAAGTAGAAATAAATAAATTAAATTAAATAAAGAGATGTAATAGTGATACTAAAAATACAAGCAAAAATAAATTAATTAAAAATATAAATATAAAATAAGTAATAACAATAGAATGTACAGTTTAAAAAAGGATAAGAGAGAAGATAAACAATAACATAGTTATTCTAAAGGACCACACACATTGCTTGACAATATATAGAAGCACAGGTTTTTAGTCAGATTATAAGTAAAACACTTTGTGTGTATTAAGTGCTACTGAATGCACCTGAAATGTTGGTTATACTCCCTCACTGTGTATATATAGGTACAGCACAGAAGGTCGAAATTAAAGCAGGAAGTCAGCCTATAAAACCTAAAGGATGTTTACCGTGGACAATGAAGAAACCTAACAGTCATACTGACCTCAGTCTTCTCCTCCACTAATAATAATAATGGACTTATCTCCATGCCCCCACATCTCAGCAGTACTCAGTTAGCTCATAAGATGTTATCAGAACAATAGAAATGATGAATAAAACCAGGACATTAAGCAGTAATTGTCCTTTAAAGGTTCCGGTTGAAGTTCAGATCATCAGTGTTTGTGTATACGACAGGAGACAGTCTGCAGCTGTTTGTCAGTAAAAGACAGGAAGTGTGTCCCTCCTCATCGCCTGTTCCTGATGGACTTTCAGAGTACAACTCTCAGATACCCCGACCTTGTTCTGTGTGTGTGTGTGTGTGTGTGTGTGTGTGTGTGTGTGTGTGTGTGTGTGTGAACATTACATGATGAGAGATATTTGATCCCACATTGTGTCTGATAAGCTTATCAAGTGAATCAGTGGATCTGCTCCAAATGTACATTATTATCTCCATGGCGTGTGTGTGTGTGTGTGTGTGTGTGTGTGTGTGTGTGTGTGTTTCACTGTCTGTTTCTGAGCTGTGAGGACTGAGAGCTCCACCCTGTGGCTTTAAAAAGTAGTGCAAAAATGTTGATGCGGGTTAATCTTTCTTTCTTTCTTTCTCTTTTGTCTTTTGTCTCTCTGTCTTTTTTGTCCTCATTTCTGTTCCATCCAACCTCCTTCCCTTCTTTCTTCCCTCTCCTTTTCCTCATCCTTTTACATTTCTAATTTCCTCTATTCTTTTTCTCATTAATTTCTCTTTACCATCCCTTATCTTTCCATCCATCCTCCTCCTTTCCAACCCTCCCACCTTTCTTTTCCTTTTTCCACATTTTAATTCATGTTCTTCTCTTTCCTCCTATCTACCCCTTACATGCTATTCCATCCTCCTTCTATCCTTCCTCATTTGGTCTTTCCCGCCTTCATATATTCTTTTTTCTTCCTTTATTTCATGATTTTACTCCCTTCCTTGTGTTTTCTTCATCTCCATAATTAATTAACCTCTCACCTCCCACCCATCTTCCATTTCTTTCTTTCTTTCTAAATCAGAATCCCTCCTCTCTGTCAGTAAGTTGACTCTTTTTCTTTTTTCCTTTCATCAGAGCGATCGGAGCCAACCCTCTGTACTGTGACTGCCGTCTGCTCTGGCTGTCAGACTGGGTGAAGAGCGGCTATAAGGAGCCCGGTATCGCCCGCTGCGCCGGTCCGCGCGGTATGGAGGGCAAGCTTCTGCTCACCACTCCGGCCGACAAGTTCCAGTGTCTGGGTAAGCTGTCAGGAAGCTACCCTCTCATAAACACACACACACACACACACACACACACACACACACACACACACACCTACAAAGTGCACAAAGCTCCACAGTGTTGCTCCAAAGCGGAGTTCTTTGTCTTTTTAGTGCAGTTCCATAAAAATATTTCACTTTGTTTGTAAGCTTTCTAAATCAGTCACATGCCATCTAAAACCGATTCACATAATATCACCTGTGCACTTTCAGTGGTTTGTGATGAACACAGAGGCAATGGGCTGTTGAACGTCTCTGTGATTCTGTCATTTATTTTGTAAAATGATCCGAGAGAACAAACACCTACATACTGTCGCTTCTCACTCGATTATATTTAACAAAAGAAAGCTTTTTCATCTGTGTGACCTTCATCAGGAGTTTTCACTCCCACACACCTGTCACTGAAGACGCTGCACTGCATGCTGTCTTTAAAGCCACATTATGGAACTTTTCTACCTTCAAATAACAGCTACAAAAGACTACTATAGTGGATTGGACAATTTGGAACCAGTTCATCTTTCCTGATGGACAGTAAAGTAACTTCTGCGAAATGTAGCGGCTGCTAATTAGCCTGAAACAGGTCAGTTTCCACTAAGATATCTGTAACATCTGTAACGTCTTCTTAAAACGTTCTTCCATAAAAAAGCTTTTCTGCATCTTTAATGGGTTTTTTGTGATTTTACTTTTCATCCTGTCATGCAATTTTATATTCTCCTGTGTTTTTCACTGAAATTGTATTTAATGATCTCGCTGTTTGTTCTTATAAGCTCATTTTTTCGGTTTATTTGCACTTGATTGCTTTATGCTTTTTATTATATTATTTTAAGTTTAAAATATTGATCATGCGGCTGTACCAGTCAGCCTCTAATCTTCAATTTATTGTGACTTGTAAAGCAGTCGGCTGCACCTGTCATGATTTAGCTGTGTGATAGCACTTTTATTCAGTGTTTTACTTTTGTGCTTAGGGATTTTTCAACTATATTTTTGCGCTAATTAAAAAGAATAATTAATATACGCTCAACTAAAATTGTGAAGTAAAAAAAAAGCCGAAGAAGTTCAGAGGTGACTTATTTTAATAGATTTCACCTAAAAACACAGCAAACGTGAGTGTTAGACGTTAGATCCCGCTCTTTTCGTGGTGTGAAGATGGTGTGAACTTTCCATTAGTGACAGTTTTATCAGACCCTGTGCGCTTCATCACAGGCGCTAATTGTTGTATTTTTATACATCAAAATACTCTAGCACTGTAAAATTCATTGTGAAAGCTCGCTGTAATTAATGTTTCCCCTCATCTCGCATGAAGCATTTTGCAACCAGCATGGTGCTTCCTCTCCTCGCCGTAGAGCTCCGTGCGGTTCCTGTCTTTCACTCAATGGGATTAAAAACAATGTCGTCTTTCATTAAATGTGGCTTTGACACACAGTCGGTGGTGTTACCTCTAAGCGTGGAGCGGCATGAAAATTTTATGCCACGATCTTCCAGGCCAAAATAATTGCAATTCACAATAATTATCCCGATAATCGTTGAAATATGCGTAGAAATCTTAAAATGGCACAATGCGCTTCACTGCATGTTACTTTATCTCACAGTCTCTTAGGAAACTAATATTCACAGCAACAATACACACAACAACTGTTTAGTTAAAAACAGATCAACAAAGAGCTCATACAGTATTTATGTGATATAAATAACTGTTGTTCTTCCTCGCACCAGTATCTGCTTATATTTCATTCTTTATTGAGAGATTTTCCCATGTTTGCCTAGTGTATTGCGTGCCTGTCAATCTCCTCGGGGGCTGATTGATGTTTTCTCGGGATCCCTCTGTGTCCTGGCTGTGTGGGAAGTGAATGATGTTGGAGTACCGTCAGGCACATTTAGGCCGTCCACATCCAAATGTCTAATCTTTAAGCCCAAACACAAGTCATGTCAAAACGTGAGCCCCACGGTAGCTCACCTGGTGGAGCTCTTCCCTCCGCGTGCTGGGTCCCTGCCGCAGTGGCCTGGGTCCCTGCCGCAGTGGCCTGGGTTCTGGACATGTCAAAACATAAGTGTAGTTTCATAAAGTTAAGAGAAAAATGCCTATTACTTCATCTGCTGACCCCAGAACAGCTGCTGCAGAAACAAAGTGAAAATACATTTAGAGGCTTGTAATCTTGTGGGTGATATTTCTTGTTGACAGTGAACATACAAACGTCTCAGTAATGACCTTTCTAACTGACCTCTGCCTGTGTGTGCTGTTGTCAGGTCCGGTAGAGGCGTCTGTTCAGGCCAAATGCAGCCCGTGTGTGGCCTCTCCCTGCCAGAACCAGGGCGTCTGTCAAGTCGACCACACGCAACTGTACACCTGTACCTGCAAGTCTGGCTTCACGGTATGCAACTGTGTGTGTGTGTATATGTGTGTGTGTGTGTGTTCATGTTGAGCGTGTGCAGAGAGGCTCGCGTGATCTAGTTCGTGAGTTTGTCTTTTTTTTTGTTTGCACCTTGTTACATCCAATCAAAATGTCCCCCCCCCTGCAGACACACAGCAATCCATTTACAGACCAAGAGCTGAATGTTTAAAACCACTGATCCAATTTTTTATGTTTGCGTGTTGTGAGTGATTATTTTGAGCCCACATCTGTCTCTGATAATCCCGTCAAATTACTTAGTTGACCTGATCTAATGTTGTATGACAAAAATATGCTCTATATTTACTGTTTGTATGTGTGTGTGTGTGTTTGTGTGTGTGTGTGTGATATTTCAGGGTAAACACTGTGAGACTCCAGTTGATGCCTGTGTCAGTAATCCCTGCACCAATGGAGGAGTCTGCCTCAGTGACGAACAGACCAGAGGGTTCAGGTAACAGGTCTATGTAGCTGCTGTATCTGACATCCCAGCGTTCAGCTAACTTGAGAAGAACTTGGAGAAGAGCAGGCAGAAAATAAGTAGCCGGTGATTGGACGGTCCATCTGTGTGTCACCGTCCATCGCAGGCGAACTTCATGCTCTTCTCTCTAGCAGCTGTCATTGTCAGTAGCATTAAACCACGCCCGTAGCTCCTCACAGGACACTGACTGGGCCGTAATAACTGTGGTTTGGACACAAGCATGTGGCTTGAAGCCTTGCAAGATGGATTCTCGTGTGATTTAGTCCAGCTCACTTTGTGAGGTTAGCATTAAACCTGCCTGTAAAAAAATCTGATGAATCTTAAACCAACATTTTATCCGCACTGGCAGAGTTTCTGTAGGAATAGCAATGCTGTCTGTCCGAAATATTTCCGTTACTTTTGATTGGACTGCGATGAAACTTGGTACACATATACATAATCCCCAGAGGTTGAATCCTAAAGACTTTGGTGATCCTCTGACTTTTCGTCTAGCGCCACCAACAGGTCAAAATTACCACTTACCACTCCGGTGGTTTATTAGAGAGAAGTCATGTCACCTTCAGTTGTACGTCGAGCTAAATGCTAACAAAGCATGCTAATATTTAAAATGCCAACATGTTATACTAATGCTAACAGTACTATTACTGCAGAGTAACTGTAGGGATGTTGATATGCTAATAAAATAATAGATAGATAGATAGATAGATAGATAGATAGATAGATAGATAGATAGATAGATAGATAGATAGATAGATACTTTATTGTCCTTTCCAGTAAATTTGTTGTCACAGTGTGTACATAGTCTTATACATAAAATATATAGATATGAATATATTTCATTAGAAATGTGTTGCTGCCTCACTTTGAACCACTGTGAGGCCAGAGAGCTCTTACTGCATCCAGAATAAAAATAGGCTCGGTGAGTGTAAATATTCTAGGTGAGAATTATTAAATAAATAAATGAGTTTTCACAGTTTGCAGGTTTCTAAAAGGTTTTTAATCGAGAGAATGTTTTGTGACTTGGGGAAAGACAGCATCACTGTGGGCTTAAACTGCCGTCAGACGAGACACCACAGGTTTTTGTTGTGTTTGACAACTTGAAGTGCTAATGAGCCAGGTTGGTTAATAGCTAATATATTTGTATATTGTAGTGCAATGAATGGCGTGTTACATGTTTACCCCTTTAATTTCTCCTTTTTAGTTGTGATGCGAATATTCCACTTTATTTATTTCTTTGTTTGTATTTGTTCAGCTGCGCCTGTGCATTCGGTTTCCACGGTACCTTCTGCGAGGTGAACGTGGACGACTGTCAGGACCACGGATGTGAGAACGGCGCCACCTGTGTGGACGGAGTGGGCAACTACACCTGCCTGTGTCCTCCAAACTACATAGGTATGACACCGCCATCAGCTTGGGATTGTAACCGTGTTCTGGTCTCAAAGTCTGTTCAAACTCTTTCTTTCTCTCACTCTCAGGTCTGTTTTGTGAGGAAGAGGAAGGTTTGTGTTCTCCAGGTAGAAACCCCTGTCAGCATCAGTCCACCTGCATCAGCACTCCTACCGGCCCCAGGTGACGACACACACACACACACACACACACACACACACACACACACACACACACACACACACACACACTTTATCACTGCCAGGCTCAGCAAAGTTTCGGATCCCAGAACAGATTAAAAATACACACACACAAAAACAAACATATACAAAGGTACATTTTGCTGAGGTCTGTGTTGACTCCCCCAAATCCTACACCATGTGTCATGTAGTAAATGTATGTGTGTGTGTGTGTGTGTGTGTGTGTGTGTGTGTGTGTGTGTGTGTGTGTGTGTGTGTGTGTGTGTGTGTGTGTGTGTTCCAGGTGTGTGTGTATTCCAGGCTGGGTGGGGCCAGACTGCGGTATAGATTATAATGAATGTGCGGACCATCGCTGTCAGAACGGAGCTCAGTGCGTCGACCATCTGGACGGCTACAGCTGCATCTGTCCACAGGGATACAGGTACTGGGAACACTGGGAACACTGGGGAATCTGGAAACTCTAGGAACTCATGGGACACTGTAGTTACTGTACAGCGGAAACAGAAGGCTGTCTGTACTCAGGGAGCACTGGAAATTAAAAACACGGTTTCCTTTATTGTGTTAAGGCTACAGAAAGATGTTTTGCACAAATCATCTAAACTTACATAAAGCTTTCAAATAACAATACAAAATCAACATTGTTTATTTTGACTTGAAACCCGATACCTGACCCACATTCAAGAGAAACTTTGCTATTTTTCAACCTGGACCAACCTTTTTTCTCATGCTTTTGTGTCTAAGAGACTAATGGAGACAATTATAGAGGGAGAGCACTGCAGCCGGCAGAACTAAAGGGTTAGTGTGGATTCTGACTCATTTGTCAAAAGAGAAAAACTGAAACTGACACTCCCGTTTTCTGCCAGCTAAAATTACTCTTTTTCTCAATGGAGTCTGGTGGCTTTGAATGAGTTAATACTTAATAATGGCTGTTTCTGATTAAACAAAAAGGATCTTACTCTTTAACAAAAAGGTCTTCCCATACGGTTGTCAGTAGTTCTTTTTGTGGCTGTACATTCCCCCGAAGTATTACGTTTCAGCCATCTGCAATGCTCTCGCTCAATACTGGACCAATTTAAAAAACTGTTGTCCCCATTAGTCACTTAGACCCAAATACACGGGGAAATAAGGTTGAAACCTACCAAAGTATCCCATTAATGACAGATTCTTGTTTGTAATGGGCATTATCATAAACCTTTAGAAGTATATGATCAAAATTTGCATAAGCACAAAAAGGATGTTGATGTACGTACGTTTCCACGCTTCAAGACCCCAGTCAGATCCACCCAGCGATGTATGCAGCTTAGAAACAATCTAAAGAATAGAAAATTGGGGTGAGGTCTGGTATTAGGATCAGTGCATCTCTTATTTATAAGTAATTGGACTGACTGAGTGTTCTCTGGTGCCCTCTCGGACGTCTTCTTTTCCCCCTCAGTGGTGAGTTTTGTGAGGTGGCCCCTCCTTCCCCGTCACCCTGCCACCTGGCTCAGTGTCAAAACGGTGCCCCCTGTGTGGAGCAGATGGGGATTGCGGTGTGTCAGTGTCTGCCGGGCTTTGAGGGTCAGAGCTGCGAGAAGCTGGTCAGCGTCAACTTTGTCGACAGAGATTCTTACGTTCAGCTCCAAGACGTCAAGAACTGGCCTCAAACCAACATCACACTGCAGGTGAGGACCCGAGCCCGCATCCAGACACACACAGACATCCAGTATCAGCAGTAGCAGACACACACACACACACACACACACACACACACACACACACACATACTCTGATTGGTGTGTATTTATATGTGTGTGTGTGTGTGTGTGTGTGTGTGTGTGTGTGTTTTCAGGTGTCAACAGCAGAGGATAACGGCATTTTGCTCTATAACGGAGACAACGAGCCGATCGCTGTGGAGCTCCATCAGGGTCATGTCAGGGTCACATATGACCCTGGGAACCAGCCGGCCACTGCTATCTACAGGTAGACTCACACACACACACACACACACACACACACACACACACACACACACACACACACACACACACACACACACACACTTACACACACACACACACACACACACACACACACACACACACACACACACACACACAGTTGTCACTACCATGTCTGTTGTTAAGGGGTCCTTTTTCTATCATAAAGTAAACTAATAGTTTAAAATGTGCAAATTTGAGACACCAAATCAGACATTACCTCCGCTTTGTTTTCAGTGAAACTTTTTTCTCTCTCATCTCTAGTGAAGCATCTGTGTAATTACAGCTGGAGGGTTGACAGGGCCAAAACAATCAGGCCTTATTTTCTAAAATGAGCAGATTGCTTTAAACTTATTTTCACTTTTTCTGCACATATAAATGTTGTGTTTTATGCTCCAATTAAACCACAGTGACCAGTTTGCAGTAAACAATCCACAGCTCAGAATAAACTTCCACAAACAAAGTAAAAATATGGCGTCCTCTGCAGGCGGGTAGTTAAAATGCACCAGGTGAGATGGTCCTTAACAACAGCCCCATCAGTTGAAACCAAGTAGGAAAAGAAGGAGACAGAATTTTTCTGTGTGAGAAATTTGAGTGTGAGCCATTTTTTCCTGCCATCTGTCGAACCAGACCAGCTAAACACACTTAACATGTCATCTACCATGTGACTCCAGCCAGCAGCTCCCGGTGGCTCAGTGTGTTCTCATGGTCAGATTCTGAAAGCTGAGCGTTCGTGAAGCTCAGCGATCCTCTGGACTCCCGTCAGGCCCTCAGCGGCCTCTCAGCTCGCTGTAACCCAGCAACGCCGCACAGAGCGTGTCTGCACACGATCCGCCGCGTTGCTCACAGCGAGTCCTGCAGGGTTTGAGAATGTGGACAGGGGACATCGGTGGTGTGGTTATTCTGGTTTAATCACAGAGGACACTTGAAGCTGAGTGTCCACTTGATCAGGTGTCGAGTGCTTAAATGTTTGGATGGTTCACAGTTGAGGAGGAGGAAGCACCGGCCAGTCGACAGCCTGACACACACACACACACACACACACACACACACACACACACACACACACACACACACACACACACACACAACACACATACACACCTACACACACACTTTGTGTGACAAGCAGCTGCAGAGAAAAGAAGATTGCAAGCATGCTTAATTTATCTGAAAAGAGAAAAGATGAGGAGAACAGAGAAAGATATAGGTAGTGAGAAAACTATAGAAAAGTTGAGTTATGAAAAAGAGTCCAAATAGTTATAATTGACACTAAAAGAACTCACTCTTATATCCACACCGGATGGGACTGTCCATCAGAAACAAAATACAGGCCAGGACTCAACATCTAACGTTTTCAGCAATTTGGCTGTTTGGAGAAACAATCGACCATGAGATCAGCTGTTTAAAGCCCCATTAACACTGAAACAACTGCACGGTGAGAAACGGTCACTGGTAGAGCTTTTCCACTGACTTTTGCCTGGTGCATAATCGCAGAAACAACCAAAATGTGTCCACGAATTGACAAAGTATATAGAAAACTCATCTGTCACTCTTTGTTGAAATGTTTAATCCTCTACATATAGCACTGAGACGGTGAACGACGGGCAGTTTCACACAGTAGAGCTGGTGACCTTTAACCGGATGGTGAACCTGTCTGTGGACGGAGGAGAGCCGACGACTCTGGGCAGTCAGGGCCGGAGCCAGCCGGCGACAACGGAGGCGCTTCTGTATGTAGGAGGTAAGAGCAGAGAGGCAGCGGCGGGGTCAGCACACCTAAACTCAGACAAAAACCTTTCTATTATCTAATATGTGTCACCAGATTGATTTCTGTGTAACCGTCTGTCTCTCCAGGTATGCCTGAGGAGGTGATGCCCACCTCTCTGGGTCTCTCCTCTCAGACCATCAACATGTCCAGTTTCCACGGCTGCATCAGGAACCTCTACATCAACCATGAGCTGCAGGACTTCACCCGCAGCCACATGAAGCCGGGGGTGGTGCCGGGATGTCAGGCCTGCCGCAAGCTCTACTGTCTGCACGGCATCTGCCAGCCCAACGCTGCACAGGTAGGACACAGTCAGCGTAACGGAAACAGAGCAATGTCAGCAGTCAGTAGACAACAACAACAAAAAGTTACATTTAAGACCAATCATATGTAAATCAGGAAAAAAACTAAAATCTTTAGTCAATTTAAGGAGAGACCATACAGGCGAATAGGGTAAAAATTTATATTCATCACTTACTTACATCAAGACAGTTATTTTTTTGTATTGCAGGTTTTCTGAAATGTTATGTTTAAATATGCAAATGAGGAGTTATCTAATTAAAAACATTAGATAAAAGTCCTACTGAAGTGGAGATTTCTGGCTCAGAACAAAAAGAAAAGAAAGCTCATTTTGAGAAACAGCCTTTAAAGTATTGTTAAATGGCATATATTTTGCAATAGCTTGTGAATAGGGTAAGAAATGTTAACTAATAGATATCATCATTAAACTTCCCCAGTTGGTTATTTACATTAAGACAATTGTTTTTTGTATTACAAATTTTAAATGATTAAATTACTTATTATGCACAAAATGAACAAATGTATATTTTGGGCATTCTCCTTCCACTGGTTTGAAATGTTATGGAATCAAAATAACCCAAAATATGTATGTATTTACTTTTTTCCATCACAGTCTCATTTTGACGTTATTTAGTTCTTGTTTATGTTGTCCCTGAACATCAAAATCTCTGCTTTTCTATACTATATCCTGTTTGCATGAATGTTTCTATATTGGCGAGCTCTTTAAAATGTATTAGAAATGTCTCTGAGCTGAAGAACACTTGTCACAGCTTGTCATTTACATTTTTGTAAGAGCTCTTTGTGCTCTTGGTTTGCTGTTGCTAAAGCAGGAAAACTTTGAGGGACACAGAATAAAGCAGACAGAAGCTCAATGTTAATGTTAACAGTGTGGTTTTTGCATCATTCAGGTATAAACATTTATTGGGATTTTTCTTTTCACAGAAAATGGATAACATGAAATAGTAAACATTTTGTCTTTCACAGGGTCCCCAGTGTCACTGCCAGTCAGGTTGGACCGGACAACACTGTGACCAGCCAATTACAGGAGGCCTTACTGGTGCGGATGTTGTCACCACGGCAACCGGTGTCAACCCGTGCGAAGGCAGCAAGTGAGTGTGGTTTGTTCTGGCTGTTACAAACATTTCCGACTTTGTATAAATGTGCACTTTACTTTGAAACGTGTCTACCATCCTAACATTGTTCCTCTTTATACTAGCGTGTTAATGTGACGAGTAGATGAATTCTTTTTAATGCTTCTAATGAGTCTCTTCTCCTCATCTTCCTCACTGCATTCACTCTGTTTGAATCCAGGTGTGTGAAGGGCGTGTGCATGGCGCTGGATGCGCAGACGTACCGCTGCGACTGCGAGAAGGGGTATCGCGGTGCGCTGTGTAACCTGCAGGGGGAGCCGGCGGGTTTGTGTCAGGGTCTGCAGTGCTTGCATGGCCATTGTGAGGAGACCGAGGACGGAGAGCACTGCGTGTGTGAGCAAGGATACACCGGAGAGAGCTGTGATATAGGTGAGGACAGGGGATCGGGACAGCTTTCAATCTCAAACTCAGAATAATGACAAAGAAATATTATTTTATGGCTACGTTCACACTGCAGGCTAAAGTGGCCCAAATCAGATTTATTTTCTCATATGTGACTCAGGTCACTCAGACTTATTGCAATGTGACTTTTATATCACTCAAGATCGACATTTGCTTCCCCCACTCGGGGTCGCCAAAGCTTCACGAGAGGTTGCGAGGCCTTCTTGGTATTAAAGGGTGTAAGAAAATAAAAAAATGTACACTGTAGCACTGTATCTCGGCATTTCAAAGAAAACTAAAAGAAATTGTTTGCTTAGATAGAATGTATTATTGTTAACATAATACTGAGAATTCTATAAAAAAGTTCCTAAAACCATCAGTCACAAAGTCTCAGACCCCTCAGTGAAACTGTAAATGACTTTTATCCCAATCGTTAAATTTTATGCTGATCAACCAATCAGTTTACTAACACTACTTGAATTCAGTCTATGAAGATATTTTGTGCAAAATCAAAGCTGGCTGGTGAAAACTCAAGAGCGGCTGTAAGAACAGTGGCTGTTTGCAGCTTTGTGATAAACTGATATTGAAAAAGATTTTTATTCAAAATCTAAAGGTCAGTTCAGTAAAATCACATATAAAAACACATTTTCTCACTTATTACTAGACATCAGTGTCTATAGACAGGGGAACTGCTTGCTGTCTTGGGCTTTTTTTAATGTGTTTGTTGTATTTTGGGTGAATCAACCCTTTAACTGCTGAGCCCTGGCTCCTCCCATTCCTCCCTGTGTGTCCCCGCCCGCAGAGACCCCGTGTCGAGGTGAGCCTGTGAGAGATTACCACCGGCTGCAGCGCGGCACCGTCCTCTGCCAGACGTCTAAGCCGTTCTCCTGGGTCGAATGTCGGGGCCGGTGCCAGGCGGGAACCGAGCCGGGCGCAACCGCCGCTTCCTGCTGCGCCCCCCTGAGGGTCCGACGCCGGCGGCTCACCTTCGAATGCGACGACGGGACCTCGTTTACGCAGGACGTGGAGAAGCCTGTGGAATGTGGCTGCAAGGAGTGTGTGTAGTACTGTGGATGTGATGGTGCGCACATACACACTTGCAGACACACACACACACACACACACACACGTCCAAACACAACACACACCAAGCTAAAGAGGTGCACACACTGTAGGGATTCTATCACTGATAAACGGACATTTTGGTGTTTGTTTCGTGTGTTTTTGCGCACAGACGCAGTTTTGTAACATAAGACAGTTCTTCCCTCTCGAAACATGAAATCAACGAGTCAACCTCATCGTCATCTTCCTCCTTTCACCTGCTGCAGGAGAACCTGCGCTTACTACCTAACCCCGGCTCATTTTTAATACTGGTGTGTGGAAAAGCCTCCGTATGCCTTCTCGTATGTGTTTCTGATGTGTGGCTGGTTAAGTGCTGCTCTTCATTCACTCACAGCTACGACGGCGAGCGACGACTTATTGCAAGAAATAAAGGTACTAATTTAAGCAGCAGACTCGCTTATGAAAGGTTTCTTTGTCAAATTTGACGTGTTAAAGATCACTCCATTCTTATCAGCAATTTAAAGATTGTTAGACCTGTCAGATTTCAGGAGCAGGTATTTCTGAGCAGCAGCACGGAGGTCTGTCAGTTTAATAACGGAGGGAACTGCTAGGGAAATAAAGCTACATTTTGAAGTATTGTTTGCTGCAGATATAACTGCTGTTTCTCCTCAGCTGTTTCTTTAAAGGTCCTTTGTGTAACATTCAGAAGGATCTATTGGCAGAAATGGAATATAATATTCATAGGTATGTTTTCATTAGAGTATAATCACCTGAATATAGGAATCATTATGTTTTTGTTACCTTACAATGAGAAGTTTTTATCTACAGAGGGAGCAGGTCCTCTTGTACGGACCCCGCCACATTGACCCGCCATGTTTCTACAGTAACCCAGAAAGGAAAAACACTGGCTGTAATGAGGGCCTTTCGAGCCAAGTGTGCATGTTTCTACACGCTTGTAAGGCGAGCGGTATTCAGCTGGTTGCAATCTGCAACTTCACCCCTAGATGCCACTAAATCCTACACACTGGTCCTTTAACTTGTGATTGAAGTAGTTCAGCAGTGACAGGTGCGAGGTTTACACAGATAAACAGGTTCAGCCGTCTTAATGTGCTGAAGGTGAAATCCTTCACAGCTTCACAAAATCTTGTAAAATGAACATAAACTCTGAAACACAGAATGAGCAAAGTAACTAATTAGAGGTATTTCTAACATACAGTTTCAACAGTCTCTTACAACACATGGCATAATCCGAATGTAAATAAAAGGGTCATCATCTCACTATACGCAGCCTATAGGTCAAAGGTGACAGCAGTCACAGGGGACAGCAGAGGGGTCATGAAACGTTCCCATCGCTGCTCGCCAGACGCCCGTTTTCCCAGTTTAGACTAGTAGGGGGGAGGCTGGGAGTGTGTGTGTGTGTGTGTGTGTGTGTGTGTGTGTGTGTTGTACTTCTATGTTTGTGAGGGCCAGTTTTTACAGACCTACGTATGAAGATATTTTGTCTGTTTCTCACTTCCTTGAAGGTCTGTTTTAGTGTTTAAACTTGATTTTAGAGTTAGGGTTAGAATTAAGCTTACCGAAACCTTTTATGGTCCTGATCAAAATGAGTCTAGCACCAGGTTTTGGCCACTTGAGGGCAGCACAATAAGCTGTTAAGACAACATTGACATATTGTCACTTTATATGTAAAGTGTTAGCAAACAGTTGCGTATTCGAACATCCAGCAAACAGAGCAATAATAAGAGCAATAATAGTCTTCCTTTGGAGTCGTATTTCTGGCCACTTGGCAAGTGAAAGTTCAATATTCACTCTCTTTTAGCTCTGGTTTGGTCTCCCCCTGAGGGAAATATCTGGCTTCTCAGCTGCTAAATGCTGCATCAGCTCATCGTTAACAGAGTCTGGAAACAACACTGGTGAGAACCAAAACAATGAGCTGGAAGGTGCTAAAGTGCTCCATGAGAGGAAACTTAGCTGTGGGTCACTGCAAGCGGCAGCTTTCATTTCATCATTTGATCCATTATTGATATCAAATATAGATTAAAAAATACAGTTTTGTACAACATGGTTATATTCTTCACTGTGATGCGTCAACACATGTCAATAGAAATGTATTAAACCTGACTTAAACATCAAATCATTTAAAGTAAGAGCCCCAGCTGTGGTGGTTAGAGCTTAGGGGTTAGGGAATGGATTATGTGAATCTGGGTCCTCACAAGTATAGGAGTGCAGTGTTGTGTGTGTGTTTGTCACTGTAAGACGCGTCCAACAACAAGACGCTGTCCCTGATAATGAGCTTCATTATACGACGATGCAGTGTGTTTGTTTGGATCCAACGCTTCCTTTCCGATTTGTCAGAAGAGCCAGTGAACGCATCATGGAAATGCCACACAGAAAATGTAGCTTTTATATATGATGACATGTTATTTATATGGATGTGAAACTAAAATAAAAGTGAGTAATATTAATTTTTAACATGTTTTTATTTGGGTTTTTTTTAGCCTTTGGGTTAAATTTTCCATTAAAGTTGAGTTGTGTCATAAATCATTCAAACTAATGTAGCTTTTATTATTCTTATTATAACTGCAATACATCTACACACAGTAACAGCCTAACAGATTGTAATATATATTATAAGCTTATAATGCATTTGATTTTGTCACAGTATTTTTATATGTTGAAGAGGATGTTGTCACTGTATCATCTGTAGACTGTAGAGAAATCTTTGTTTTCAGTTGCCCAAAAAAATGTTTCCCAACCAGCCTCGTATCATCGATGGGAATTCTACAAAAAAAAAAAAAAAAAAAAAATCAGATAGTGTTTCGGTTCATGTTGTCGCACCTGAGAGGAGACAGATAGTGCTTCTTTTTCCTATTTATTTAAATAAAGAGCTGTTTCTCCTTCATTGTTTTCCTCTTTTTTCTGTTCTTTTCTTTCCCTCCAACCTTGACACTGGCTCTGGTTTTTCTTGTTGTTGTTGCTCCGACCTTTGACCTCATTGTGTCACTGCTGTCTCGCGTCCTCCCGGTCGAGTCGATGGGCGATGGCAGCTCATGGAGACGGAGAAGAGAGTGAGAGAGAGAAAGGGAGACAGTGGGGGTGGGAAGAGGAGAGGTAGATGGAGTGATGGAGGAGGATGGGAGACCGTGGAGAAAGATGGAGGACAAAGTAAGAAAGGATGGAGGGAGAGAAAAGAGGGATGTCCTGCTGCGAGGGGGGGTTGCAGCGCTCGGAGACTGAAGCCGTTTAATGAAACCGTGATTTATGCGTCCCCTCGCAACCATAAAACATAATATATACCCCCATCGGCTTTGACAGAGTCCCTCCTCCCCCAACACACACAGGAACACACACCCTTCCAGTCTGCTCTCCAGTGCAAACTGCTGCATGTCTCCACCGCCCCCTCTCCCCACCTCCACCTCTGCAAGCCATCCAAACGGCCTCCCACCCCCGCTTCAACCTCTCTCCACCACCATCCTTCCCCCTTCCCCCTTTCCCCCTCTCCTCTCCTCTCCTCTCCCCTGTCTCTCTCTGTCTTTAAAAGAGGATAAAATCATACCAGCAGCACCTTCCCAACCCCCCAATTCCAATAAAGCCTCCACATCTTCTCATACTGCGATCTGCCACACACAAAGGACAAACACACACACACACACACACACACACACACACACTACGATGGAAAAATGGCAGGCTGATTGTCAGCTGCAGAACAGAGACCATTGATCATAAGCAGAATAACGGAGGCGTTTCATCTCCAAACTGGATACGTATAAACAATACACCCAATTTGGCACAAAATACATCATCAGCCAAGTTACTGCACAAAATACAGACAGTTCATTCATTAAATCAGAAAAACAAACACAAACGAATAAATTGGCTCTTCGTTGTTTGCAGAGTTTGTGCTGAAGTACAGATGGTCGCCAATTAAAGGGACATCTTTACATAAACTTATACATGTTTTTCTACATGGCTGAGAGCAAAGCGTACGGACCACAGTGCCTTAACGCTTTCTATACACACATATACTGCATGAATATAACAGGATCCTGGAAAACCTAGAAATGTAGTGACTAGTTTTCCAGTCAGCACCTGGAAACAGATTAAAATGACCAAATATCCTGGAAATAATCTGTGTTGTCCTGATGGTTTTGTGTTTTAGCCCCTCACTCAGATCACCAAGGTGCGTATTTTGTCCAGAACTGTTGGTAGGATGAACTGTATGACTTTTTTTACCCGCAGGTTCACCAGATGCAAAGGGAAGCTGACTTGCAGTGATATTTTTGGGATTAAGTCAAAGCTAAATTCTCTACACGCATACACCCTATTAATCAAATGTCTTGTTGCTGTGGTTGATAAATACATGCAAAGTGATGTAAATTGTACGTACAATCAACAATTTAATTTTCTATAAGATGATTGTTTCGTAAAATGATGATTTGGCAAAATTAATGTCAATTTGCCCGAAACCGCAGCCTAATATGACCGTTTGTCAAGAAGAACTCTGATATAAACTATAATGCTCTTAATTGAGTCCCAATGAATGCAACAGTCATATAGAGTCTGCGCCATTAAAACACATAATAATAATAATAATAATAATAATAATAATAATAATAATACCTGGTCTGGAAGCAGAACAGCTTCCCGGGTCTTAAAAGAAGGAAACACCTCTGACAGTCCTGGTATCAGTGTATCAATAACCTATCACTTGAGAACCTATTGATTGATATATTGATTATCTATACCAGCCCTTGTCCAGCTCATGTGTGACACACACACAGCCGTGTTCCTCAGGTGTTGTCAAACACACTGGCTCTAGATAGTGCTGTTTGCATTTTTTTTTACACATTTCACGGCCATTGCAGTTTCTTGGAACGGAAGGGTGAAGCGAGGGAGTTGCAACCTGCAGCTACACCATGAGATGCCATCAAATCATACACACCGGTTCTTTAAACTAAACTCCACTGAGGGAGACTGTGAGAGCTGAAGTCTAACTAGTACAACTAATCTATTTTATTACTTTGTCTAATTATTTTAATTAATTAAGCAGAGTAGTGACATATATTTGATGGATATTTAATATCATATTCAATAGTAACAGTTACAGCAGAGAACAACTGATAAACTGCACAATGAACCCAGTGAACTGCAGGAAGTTTGTGTAAGACCGGAGATTTGGATGAATTTGGAGCAGATTCTTTCCGGTGAATACTGCATCACAGATGATTTTGGATCTTTAAATATGATTCTTTGTCTGTATTATATATTTTATTTTCCTTTTTAACAATCATACCAACTTAATAGGCTTCTTTCAGTGTGTGTCTTCTCCCTGACAATGGCCATTGTTCTATTAGCTCTTCAGTTGTTTTAACTTGGGCCGGATGAGGCTGTTAAGCAGAGGAGTGAAGGCTCTGTGATTATAGCCTGTCAGCTCTTCAAAGTTTAAATAATAATCTAAACTTTAAAGAATAACAATTTCATTTAGTTTCTTCACAGTAATTAAATGCTGAGATATGGTGCTATATATTTTTACGCCCCCTAAAATCAAGAAGGCCTCGCGATCCCAAGTGGGTTGAAAGTAACTCCTCAATGACTTCCTTCACTTTTCTGATCTGTTTGGGTCCTGGAGGGCTTACGGAGACATGTGACAGGAATGTTTTTCCCAACACTGTCTCCTACAAATCACGTTTCTCATAACTCAAGGCCCACTCGGCTGTTCCAGCAGCCGAGTGGGCCTTGGGCTGAGACTGTAGTGCTCAAACTACAGTTTCTTTCCGAGGCTAAGAATGAGCTTCAGTGCACGGTTGTGTATTTCAGACTGATGGAGAATGTGTTTATTTATTGATGTACGTGTTATGTTTCATTATGTTATATTTTAGTCTTGAATGGTTTGTTATGGTTGTCAGCTGACTGACCGAACAGAGGCCTGAGACAGGGAGACAGATTATATTTGTAATGGAAGCTGTTGTAACAGCTGGCAGCAGCAGAGGGCAGTAGCTTTTAAATACCTGCGGAGAATGTGGACTACCTGAGACGGTAAAACCTGACTGACGCACACATTTAACCATCAGCTGCTGGCGTTGTCCACTGATACAGCACGATTTCACTCTGTTTCCTCTTCTCTCTTGTTTCCTCTCGTTTCCTCTCTTCTTCCCTCCTTTCCTTTTGTGTCCTCTCTCCTCTCCTCTCCCCCACTCTTATTGATTCATCCTCCCATCTCCTCTTACACTTAGATTTAATTTTTTTCCTCCTCTCTCCATTCACTTCTTTCTCTCTTTGCTTCTTTTTCTTCTCTCTCAACTTTTTTGTTTCCCCCTCCTCTTCCTCGCTGCTGTCCATGCCCTCTTGCTCCCCTCTCCTCCTATTTCCTCTCCTTGTCCATCCTCTCTCCTCGCCCTTTTGTTCATCTCTCTCCACCTCATTAATACCTTACTTTCTCCTTTTCTTTCTTTCTTTCTTTCTTTCTTTCTTTCTTTCTTTCTTTCTTTCTTTCTTCTCTCCCCAGTTCTTCTTCCAGTTGATTTAGTGTTGTGTAGTAGGATCCCACCGGATAATTGGTTTACCCTGCTTATTAAATCCAGGGTCTCCGCAGTAGAGTTGGAGACTTTTCTTTAATCCACTTGAGCAAAATGAACCGTCTCGCTAACAGAAGAAGCTTTGTTATCAAAGTCCGAGCCTTCAGAGTAAAGTTCGAAAAACATCCTGCTTGTATTTTAATTTGGAAAATGGCGCAAACTTCCTGTCTTTTCTTCCTTCAGTGTCTTCTAATAAATGGACACAACTGCACAGAGTGAAAATATTTCCCTGCATCATTTATACAGAGAGACGTTGGACGTTGGAGACATCGGCCATTTGCTTTCATTCCTCGCCTCCTCCTTTCTTTTTCTTTTTTTTCTCATCCTTCCAAATTCTTTTATTTTTGCTTTTCGTTCCCTCTCATCTTCTCCTCTCCTTGTTTTTACTCTGTCATTTTATTTCCACTCTTTCTTTCTTCTTTGTCCACAGCTGCTCTCGTCCAATTCCACCTATTGTTTCTCCTTCTCCTGCCTTTGCTTATTTATTCTCTCTATTCTTCTCTGCACTTAATTTGTATTCATCCCGTTTTAATCAAGCCCATTTTCTCTCCTCTCTCTCTCTTTGTTCATCTCTCCTCCTCTATCACCCTCTTTTTCTTCTTTGTTCGAGCCACTCCACTCATCTTCTCCTGCTTTTCCTCCACCCCCACACACTCCATCTTTTTCTCTCTCCTCCTCCTCCTCTCCTTTCTTTTCCTCTCCATCACCTTTCTTTCACTTGCCTCTTGCTCTCCTTTGTTCATCTTTCACCTCCATCACCCTCTCTCCTCTTTCTATGCCCTTCTTCTTTGTTCACTCCCCTCCTCCCATCTTCTCCTCTTTTTCCTCCAACATCCACTCTCTCTCTCCCTCTCTCTCTCTCTCTCTCTCTCTCTCTCCTTCCTCCTCCTTTCCTCTCGTGCAGGTCTGCCGTAGAGCAGATGTCCTTTTATTGATATGATCATGGTTAGTGGTCTCCAGGTGCTCATTGGATCCACCGTATAACCTCTTGCAGCCAGCGGCCCGAAACACACACACACACACACACACACACACACACACACACACACACACACACACACACACACACACACACCCTGCGGCTATTGCATCTCTTGGATACAGTGAGCTGCAAAAGAGGAAAAAGGAGGAGGAGAGGAGGAGGAGGCGGTTGGGGTGAAGGCAAACAACAATATGGAAAAAGATTAGAGGAAGAGGAAGAAAGGAGGAGAAAAGAAGTTAGGAAAGGAGGTTGGGGGATGAGTGACAGAGAAAGAGAAAAAAGATGGGGGAAGGGGTTTGAGAGCGCCGCAGGCAAACTGAATATTTCAGGCAGTTGCCAAAA